ATCTTTGTTTATGATCCTATGACTAAGACAGCATCCATCAGCAGCTCCCCAGAAAATAATTAACTTCTTTCAAGCAATGGGACGGAAAATACCCTTGCCTCACACATCACCAGCCTCCTTTCTCTTAGAGTCCCCTATGCAATAAAAGTGTTGTATGCAACTAAGTTTTACTCAGAGCAGACCTACTAATATTAACCCAAATCAGACCATTGGTCCATCTAGTTGAATACAGACGTGCCAAAACTCGGAAGTACCGGAACGGATTACTTCTAGGTTTTGGCAGTCGCGCATGTGCAACACTGCTAAATCGCGCTTTGTGCATGCGCAGAAGTGCCAAATCGCAACCCGTGCATGCTTACACGTGGCGCTGCAGGTTGCAAATGCTGCAGGTTGCGAACATGCTTCCCGCACGGATAACGTTCTCAACCCAAGCGTCCACTGTACTGTCAACACTGACTAGCAACAACTCTGGAGTTTCAGGCTGAGACATTCCCAGTCATACTTGGGGATACCTGGGATGAAGCTGGGGACTTCTGCACACAAAGCAGCTGCTCTAGCTCTGAGCTATGGCCCCTCCCCCAAGGTAGGATCCTAACTAATGGGTTCAAATCGCAAGAGGGAAGAGATTTAGACTAAATAGGAAGAACTCCCTGGTGGTGCTTCAAAAGCCCTACTTGGAGATGGCAGAGATTGAACTTGAGATCTTCTGCATGCAAAGCAGATGCTCTAACCATAGAGCAAGTGTCCTTCCCAAGTCAGTCATGCCCATCAATTTTAATGAGCCTACTGATGCAGGTCAAACTTTGAATAAAACCCTAAGCTATGAAGACACACAACCTACCATAATATTTAGGAGGGTATCCCAACAGATCCCATTACTCATGATTTTTCCACAAGGTAGAGCAGCTGCCGTATTTTTCTGTCTATAAGACGCCCCCATGTATAAGACACCCCCTATTTTGGGGGACTCAGATTTAAGTAAATGGGGGGAGATGGCCCCGTATATAAGACGCCCTCTAATTTTTGACATTATTTTTTAGGGGGGAAACCTAGTCTTATACATGGGGAAATACGGTATTTTAAGTTTTATGCCACATACATGAAGGCATAGTTCAGAACAGAAAATCAATCTGGAACAACTCAAACATAACCAAGCTGTTCTCGTTGTCATAGACACAGATCAGAATCCCATTTTACCTATAGGTATATATTTGAAAGAACGGGGAGGGGAACCACCTTGATTATGATCATAATATACTGCGTTGGAGCACTGAAGAGAAACTTATTGGCATTAAGCAGTCTTGAGTTTGAGCCACTGAACATTCAGTTGAAATTTACTAGCTTCAGTTAACTCTGAGAAAGCTCTACTCTGTGTTAAGACTGGGCTTTAATCCAAAGAAAATAAACCTTAAAATGGCAACCCTAACTGAACTTCCTTGGAAGTAAGTCCACTCAAACTCAATGAGTCTTGCAAAAGGGAATATAATCAAATAAGAGCACGAAGAACTACATACGGTTTAGGAAAACAATTATTGTAGTAAAGATTCTTGTAGTAATTTACAATGCTCCTTGCACTGTGAGTCTAGGAAATCTTTGGGACCACCCGATCCCTTATTTCCATGCCTGATCACTATGATTTTTGGAGGAATCCCTGATGGTGGTCTACCATGGCTCAGATGGCTGGCTTGTAACTACTAGAAAAGGTGCATTTGAAACTCCTTCCCAACTGAGATTAAACAGGCACACACACACCTTGGTGAACTTCAGGCACATGGCAAATACTTTCTTGTTCTAGCAGGCATTTTAAGGAAGTGTTTGGTTTTCCTATAATTTTTGATTATTTAATTGTCCCCATTTGTGGACAATTCTGTGGACTGTATCCATGTACGCTGCTTAGAAATGTGAATAACTAAGCAGCATAGAAATGTCTTAAATAAAGGGATGCAGCTCTCCAGATTTTGTAGGACTCCCACCTCCCAACCAAACAGCATAATTGTTAGCAACAACAGAAACTGTAGTTCAGCAACGTCTGAAGGGTCACCAGTTTCCTCCACTCAGCTGTAAATGGAAATATATTACCATTGAGAAAGACCTGTTTGGGTTAATATGTTTTCCACTCTTAGATGTTTTTATATAAACATGATAAGGTTATTATTGACATTTTTAGAACCAGAGAATTGTAGAGTTGGAAGGGACCCCCAAGGAGCATCTAGCCCAACCCCCTGCAATGCAGGAATCTCAACTAAAGCATCCATGACAGATGGCCACCCAACCTCTGCTTAAAAACTTCCAAGGAAGGAAAGTCCACTAACTTCCAAGAGAGTTTGTTCCGCTGATAGTTGTCTGAAAGTTATTCCTTGTATTTAGTCAGAATCTCCTTTCTTGTAAACTGAGGTCCTAGCCTCCAGAGCAAGAGAAATCAAGCTTGTTCCCTCTTCCATGTGACAACCCTTTAGATATTTGAAGAATGCAATCCTGTCTCCTCTCAGTCTCCTTTTTACCAGGCTATACATACCCAGTTCCCTCAACCGTTCCTCATAAGGCTTGATTTCCAGACCCCTGATCAACTTGGTTGTCCTCCTCTAAACACGTTCTAGCTTATCAATATATTTCATAAACTGTGGTGCCCAGAGCTGGATACAGTACTCCAGGTGTGGTCTGACCAAGGGGGAATAGAGTGGTAATATTACTTAATCTTGATCATGACAATATATGTCTATTGATGCAGCCTAGAATAGCAGTAGCTTTTTTTCTGCTGCACCACACTGCTGACTCATGTTAAGCTTGTGATCTGCTAAGTTTCCTAGATCCTTCTCACATGTACTACTGGCAAGCCAGGTGCCCCCCATCTTAGATTTGGGCAACTGGTTCTTCCTATCTAAGTGTACAACCTGACATTTGTCCCTATTAAAATTCATTTTGTCAGTTTTTCCCCAGTTCTCCAACCTGTTAAGATCATATTAAATCCTGATTCTGTCTTCTGCAGCACTGGCATCCCCTTCCAGCCATCTGCAAATCTGATGAGCATCCCCCTCCATATATTCATCCAAGTCACTTATAAAGTTGTTGAACAACAACAGGTCCAGGACAGAACCCTGTGGCACCCCAACTGTCACTTTTTTGCAGGATGATTAGGAACTGTTAGTGAGGACTCTTTGGGTTCGGTCAGTCAACCAGCTACAAATCCGCATAAGAGTTACCTTGTCCAGCCCACATATCTCCGCAAGAATATCATGGGGGACTTAGTAAAAAACCTACTGACATCAAGATATGCTATGTTCACAGCACTCCCCTGATCCAAGTAGTCCAATATTAGGTATTTCTGGTTTAGTGTGCTTATTTTAATTTCATTAAGAATTAAGGTTTGTAACCATTATTCATCCCATCTCAGAGCAGACACACTGAAATGTATGGACATGACTCATTTGTGTACAGTGGACGCTCAGGTTGCGAACGTGATCCGTGTGGGATGCATGTCTACAACCCACAGTGTCCGCAACCCTCAGCAGCATATCTGCACATGTGCGGGTTGCAATTTGGCACTTCTGCGCATACGCGACTGCAGAAACACAGAAGTAACCCATTCCAGTACTTCCGGGTTTCGGCAGTCCGTAACCCGAAAAACCGCAACCTGAAGTGTCTGTAACCCGAGGTATGACTGTACTGCTCTGAGTAGAACTTAGCTAGATACAATACAGTGGTGCCTCGCAAGACGAAATTAATCCGTTCCGCGAGTCTCTTCGTCTTGCGGTTTTTTCGTCTTGTGAAGCACGGCTATTAGCGGCTTAGCGGCTTTAAGAAAAAGGAAACAAACTCGCAAGAACTCGCAAGACGTTTCGTCTTGCGAAGCAAGCCCATAGGGAAATTCGTCTTGCGGAACGACTCAAAAAACGGAAAACCCTTTCGTCTAGCAAGTTTTTCGTCTTGCGAGGCATTCGTCTTGCGGGGCACCACTGTAGCTTCCTTAACTGAACATGAATGCTAATCTTACTTTGGAGGATTCGTGCTTAAGACTGAACCGTCTGAACATACGAGTTTAACTGATTAGCCACGATGAATCAATTTACATGTGAATAAAACAATTATTATGAAGAGCCAGGAGTACACTTTATTTAGTTTCAGTGCAATGGCACATGTTACAGCAGACAAAAGCACAGACCTGTCCATGAGTAAAGGGAGAATACCTCTAAGCCAGTCTGCCATCTATATAAATACTTGGGGATGCAGCCCCTGCTTATGTTGCTTGCCAAACTTACTTAGGACTGCCCCATTCCCCTTGCCAACCCCTCCCCCCTCCCCCTTTACCCAATCCCCCAAATGATTCAGAGATACCAGTCGGGTATTTCAGCTCAGCAACACGTCTGAGGTACTTCTCAGTTTATACCAGTCAATAACTGTAAAGGTACAAGGAGGAAAATGGACACCCACTCCTTATTATACCATATCCAGAAGCTCAAAATAGGGCACAACTAGATGTTTTATAACTGAAGAGCAAATCATCATCTTTCCAAAATATCCAGCGTATTGATCATTTTTATTCAGTATTATGCTACTTCGTGACTCCTACCCCTTTGCATTCTTCTTGGTCTCAAAGGCAAAGTGAACCTCCTTTTGTTCACATATTGTCCGATCTAATCCACCTCTAAAACATTTCCTGCTTTTAAAACTGTTCTGTAGTTTTCAGAAGACGATTTGGCATTAAAAAGAAGAAGAAAGAAATGAAAAGGATTGCATTCAGAGTTAAGATCTGCCAACCATCTATTATTTTTTAAGTGTGTTCATAAACTTGGGCTAGACAAAGGCTTGCCCAAATTCACCTCCACAACAGCTCCTCTGTAAGTCTTCAGATATAGCTTTACTATAGAATCTTAATAGCACCATACTCTCTTCTTCACCTTGCTGATGAAAATAATAAGCATCAAAGCAACTCACTCTCAGCATAATTTCTACAAATTGTGGAGACGGGGGAGAGAGAGCGGGGAGAGGGGGAGATCACTTACCCTGTAAGGACGACAACAAAATCCATCACGTTCCAGCCATTTCGGAGATAAGAGCCTTTGTGGAAAGCAAAACCCAGCGCGATGATCTTAATACCAGCTTCAAAGCAAAATATTCCAATAAAATATGGCTCAGTGTCATCCTAAAAAGAAGAGGAGGGAAGGGGAAGAACAGCAATGTCAGGCAAAGAGCTACAATTCTACAGATGCTGGGATAGTCAATTCACGTTTTATTTCTTGCTATCAAGAGTTCACTGTTTGGTTTGGTTTTTCTACACTGTACAGACTGTAAACTTCATCCTCAGCCATCCTACCCTGCATTTCCTCCCCTGTGAGTCACCTCAAACTCATGTTTGTGTTTTAAGTTCAAACTTATGAAATAGTGAAGCAAATGAAGATTGAAAAGAAAGGAGGAGAGTGCGTTATCCTCCAAGCCTATGTTATCATACAGTCATCCAATGTCTTCTGCATATAATCTGAGGCCTTTTTATGAGTTGAAACTCGAATCACTACCTCGTGTCCCATTTCCCGAAATCCTTCCTGGTTTTCTACTTTCCTCATTGATTCTGGCCCCTTTGCAGAGTGAATCTACACAATCACTCTCCCCGTTTTGAGCCAAAATTGAGGTCAGCTAAGAAGCAAAGAGGGAGTATTGTTAGCAGCTTGACAGGAATAAACCAGGTGGATCTTACTGCACTGCAGCTTCCATCAGAGCAGAAGGCAACACAGCCAATGGTCAGGGATGCTGGGAGTTGACATCTGGCAACATCTGGAGTGCCACAGCCTCCTCACCCCTGTTCAAAGAAGCAGAATTCCCCACCGCATGAAAGGAACCCCTCCTAAAGGGAGTTGCTTCTTAGAGTAGGGGTGGAAAACTTTGTTCGCTCTAGGTATTGTTGGACTCCAACTCACATCAGCCCCGGCCAGCATGGCCAGAACTCAGAAATGTTGGGAGTTGTCATCAGTATTCCACCACCACCACCACCACCCAAGAAAAATAGGTGCCAGAACTCATGATGAAGTTGTTGCAGAAAGTTGCAGGGCAACTCGGAGCAGCTCTGAACAGATACCTGTTTGACAATAGCCATGTTCACCAGCTGTGAAGCTGCAAAGAACTACAGCACCTGTCTCCCTAGATGTGCCCCCCTCCCTCATTTTCTTATATTTAGGCAACTGGCCAGGGCAGCTTGGAAGGTTGTTTGCGCAAATGTGTGTGTGTGTGCAATGGTGGAGGCCTGGCTGAAGAGCTTAAAGTCCACCGCTGCTTGTAATGCCATCAAAAAAAGTAATGAGACTCATTTGGCACTACTTGTTTTTGAAGAAACCATGCCAGGTCTTAGTAATCACATCTTTTTCTAAGTGCTCACTGATCAACCATTCAATTGTTTGTTCTAGGATCTTTCTTGGTATCACTTTCAAGCTGACCAGTTAGTAGTTACCTAGGTCTTCTTTTTCCTCTTTTTTGAAAAGATGGATACAACTTTTGCCCACCTCCAGACTGTAGGGATCTCACCTGTTTCCAGGAATTCTCAGTTTATAGACTCTGAGATTACTTATGCAAGCTCCTTTAGTACCCTTGGTTGCAGCTCATCAGACCCTGAAGATCTGAATTCATTTAAAGTAGCTAGATGTTCCCTTACCCCCCCCCCTTCCTATCTGGGGCTGCAGCTTCCTTCTTGCATTGTTTATTCCCTTATCACCAGTTTGGGCACCACTTTCCTTTTGGGTGAAGACAGAGGCAAAGTACCGTAGGTATTGATCATTTCTGCCTTCTCTCTATCACCCAATAGCATTTCTCCGTCTTTTCCAATCAGAGAACTTTGCTTTCCATGGAGGCGCAGGTTGCAGCCACACCAAAGGTGGCATTTTTCTATCTCCGCCGTATTAAGCAGTTGGTCCCTTACCTTTCTCGCCCTGATCTAGCCACAGTGATCCATGAGACAATCACCTCCAGGCTTGATTATTGTAACTCACTCTACACGGGGCTGCCCTTGAAGCTGACCCAGAAACTCCAACGGGTGCAGAATGTCGTGGTGAGGCTCCTTACAGGGTCCTTGCCATGGGATCACATTCATCCAGTGCTTTACCAGCTGCACTGGCTCCTGGTGGAGTACAGGGTCAGGTTTAAGGTGCTGGTTTTGACCTTTAAAGCCCTATGCAGTCTAGGGCCCACGTACCTATGGGACCAGTGGCGTAGCATGGGTTGTCAGCACCCGGGGCAAGGCAAGTAATTTGCGCCCCCTAACCCGTGGATTTGCGCCCCCTAACCCGTGGATTTGCACCCCCTAACCTGTGGATTTGCCCTAACCCCAGATGTTGCGCCCGGTGCGGCTGGCCCCCCCTGCACCCCCCACGCTACGCCACTGTATGGGACCACCTCTCCTGGTATGCCCCATGGAGGACATTAAGGTACACAAAGGACAACACTTTGGAGGTCCCAAGTCGCAAGGTGGATAGATTGGTCTCAACTAGGGGCAGGGCCTTTTCAGTACTGGCCCCGACTTGGTTGAACGCTCTGTCAAAAGAGACTAGGGCCCTGCGGGACTTGACATCTTTCCGCAGGGCCTGCAAGACAGAGCTGTTCCGTCTGGCTTTGGTTTGGACTCAGTCTGACCCTTATGTTTCCCTCCCCTTATGGTTTTGATCTATGGGCTACTTTTAAAATGAGGCTGCATTTTAAATTGCATTTTAACCTGTATTTTAAAGTGGTTGTTTTTGTTTGTTTGTTTTTCCTGTTATCTTTTTACTGTAATTTTACTGGTGTTAGCCGCCCTGAGCCCGGCTCTGGCCGGGGAGGGCGGGGCATAAATAAAATTTATTATTATTATTATTATTCATTCTTCCTCCTGTTTCTAACACAGCCAAAGAAACCTTTTATTATCATTATTAATGTATCTTGTAAGCCTGAACTCATTCTGAGCATTGGCCTGCCTGACCTTCTCTCTGAGACTGTTGGTTACTCATGTATACTCTTCTTTCATGATTTCCCCTTTCTTTCATTTCTTATTCATGGCCTTGTTAAATCTAAGCTCATCTGTAAGCTCCTTATGCAGCTACCCTGGTTTCTTTAGATGCCTCCCAATTTCTTCCTTGTTGGAACTGTCTGCACCTGTGTCTTCCATCTTTCACCTTTAAGAAACTCCCATTAATCTTTGAAGTATTTCTGACCATGTGATCTCACCCAGTAGTTCCTTAAGCTTTTTGAAATCAGCCTTCTTAATGTCCAGAATGCATGTCTGCAGTGCCAGATTAAACCCTGTGGAGGCCCGTAGGCAGTCCAAGGTGAGGGCATGGAATCAACCTTGCAGCTCCAGTAATACATGGATCCTGGCAGTCTCGCATCCACATGTCGTGTTCCTCCAGAGGTTCGTCTCCTGCATGGGGAGATCTTCCACCTCCCTACGTGCATCACTGCTCCAGGACAGTCCACTCTGCTCTATCAAGGAATTCCTCCTCTTGGCCAGTAGCTCAGAGTGTGGTTAGTGAGCTCAAGTTGCTGTGCCTTCTCGTTCAGCAAGGCAACCAAGTGTAGTTTTGCACCTTCTTGGGCAAGAAGACAAACATGGCACAGGTGTTGCTGGTCACCGCAGCAGCTCCCTCACCACCCATGTCTCTTGGTCCTGGGTACCCCCTGAGGCAGCACTTGAGACTTTCCCCTCAAACCACCCTCACAAATGCCCCTGTTTACAAGTCCTGGTTATGAGCTCCCGGAGGCTGCAATCAATCTTACATAATCATAATATCATACAATCATGATACAATACCATACAATCATAATATCACATAACTGTGACATCATAATATCATACAATCGTAATATATCATACAGGATAAAAACAAGTGTGGGGTATTGTTGTTTTGTTTATTATGCTATGTATTTTCTGTTTTTATATTGTAAACTGCCCTGTGATGCTCTGAAGAAGGGCAATAAGAAATACTGGGTTATATTTAGTATTTTTTCTACCTATTTATTAATGGCCATGGCTAAGCTCATAAACTTGAGTAGGTCTACTCCATGTAAAAACAGCAAACAAAGAAGACCTAAAGTGCTAATCCAAAATTATATGACAAAAGAGCAATGTCTACCCATCTCACTTAAGGATGAACAACTCAGAGTTTAGAGTCGTACAGAGAGTCTTCCAGAGCCTTAAAGACTAACAGATTTATTATGGCATAAGCTTTCCTGTAGTCCACAAAAGCTGATGTCACAATATATTTGTCAGTCTTTATGGTGCCACTTCTTTTGCTACAAGACACAAACACAGTTATCCCGCCCCCCCCCCCAAAAAAAAGTCTCATTGGAGGTGTTCTTTGCAGCAAAGCAATGCAGCCTAGAATAAATCTCATTAGCATCCCTCACAACCTAATCCCAGAGCAGGCTACCCGGGCCCCTAAAAAGACCATCCCAAAAGGCTTAGGTGTGCCATGCAAAAGAAAAGACTTCCTCTTTTCAACAGAGGTTAATACGACTGGCTCATGCCTCGCTGCTTTTAAAGAGCCTGTGGTTAGGATACAGAACAAGGCCCATTAGCTGAGTGAAAAGGCTGTCATGTTAAATAAGGGAGAAAGCTGCTATGCCCTGCCTCCATGTCAGAACCAACAAGCAACACATCCTGGGTAAATGAGAAGCCTTCTGCATGGATTAGTTACAATGAGGACCATGTGCTCCAATCTTTTCTCTGGTCTAGAGGGGATGGGCAGCATGCGCAAGCAAGCAAGCAGGATGCCACTGGGAGTAGGGATGGAGGAGAAATTTTGATACTGTTTGCATTTTAAAGAGGAAGGAATCAATTCCCACTTTGTGAACCAATACACAAAGCAAAGTATAGCTACCCTTTGAAATCTACAGTTTTGTGGTTTTGGTTGTGCATATCTTCCAGGCAAAGAACATGGGCCAAAATTAAGAGAAAGCATGCATATCATTTTAGGGGAAACTCTTTTTTTGGGGGGGGGGGAATGTGTATATTAGACAAAACCACAGATGAAAATTAGGAAGAAATTGACTCTAAAAGGCTTGTAAGTTTTCATTAAGATCCCCACCTGCCCTGCCACCCCCACCCCCACCCAACAAGTGCAAGACGCTACAGAAGTGTGAGGAACTGGATTTCAAGATTGGGAGTGGGGACGAGAAAACAACTTTGGC